AAATTTCAACTTGTTCTACAAAATTTAACTTTTCCCTGCTCTCTAATTGTATGGCTCCAATCCTTTGTTTGCCGCCACGTGACCAGGCTGCCAAGTTGGTTCACAAAACGATACCATTTTGTACGCAGATTTCGCTTGAAAAAATAGTTTAGTTCCCATCCGCAGGAGAGAAACTATTATTTTTACTTGAATTCGATAGGATTTAAAGTAACGAACATACCTCCTTCAGGCTTTGATGGAGAAGAGGTTATAGGTAGGGATTCACTGCTCCGTGGATGTGAGGTGCCAGTTGGTGATGGCAGGTAAATTCCTGCAGCCGGAAATGGACCTGTGCTAAAAACAGCTGATAAAATTTATAGAAAGTGGAAGATTAGGAACAAAACAAATGACGCTACTGAATGAAACGTTTTAGAATATGAGCTACAGCCTAAAGCTGTTTTACAGTTATTATACTACTACATGAAAAATTTCTGCAATTTGATTGCCTTAGAGCAGTGGTATTTCACCTTAATTTGAAATACCTACATGTGAAAATTACAAACCTTTGCGGGTAGTAGTATAAACAAATAATAGCATGATTTGTACGTAATATTTGGCATAAATACCTCTCGTGATATTTCAAAATAGTCTCCGATTTCACTCGCCTAACGGCTCGTGAAATTACGTATAACAATTTCGAAATATCACTAGTGGTATTTATGCTAAATATCACTACAAATCATGCTATTACCTATACAAATTCAATTGGTTGTCTAAAAAGGTATTTTCGATTCGTCCTGCAAACTTTAACTTTTCTCTGCTCAATAATTGTGTAGCTCAAATGATGTGATGAAGTAATTCATTCATTCATTAGGCAAGTCTAAGGTCGGAGCTCCTTCAGCTGACTTGAGATAATCAGCACTAAAAGAAACAATCATACCTCCTCAACCGACAACATAAAATTTTATTTCTACGTATACTGAAGTATCAGTGGTATGACGATGGATTCTGGTATAAATTTGGATTTTTGGATATAGATCTGCGATAGTTTGCCAGGGAAGATCGGGAGGTGTTTCAATATCAGAGCCAGTTTATTAAATTATCAATATATTTATTCAAAGAAAAACATCAAGAATACATTCACTTAGGACGAAAAAGGAAAGATTAAGAAATAGAAAAGAATAAAAACTGAACTATAAACGGTGTGAGAAGATACAAATGTAGTCATCACAAAACAACGAACAAAATTTATATTTTTTTGGACTCTCATAATTTATGTAATTATCCTGCGACTTTAAGATACGTAAAAGAGGCTGATGTAATCAAGACTTAAATTTCTTTTTAGGGAGGACTCGAATTTGAGGAATGTTGTTTTACATTCTTGGGCCGAAACTAGAAAACAAATAGTTCAATTTTTTTTCCTAGAATATTTGATCAGTTCCTGTAAAGCTAGTATATTGTAATTATGCATTTCTGCAGAGAGAAGGAACGAATAAGCTAGAAATATTTCCGAAGTTGAGAGTACTGAGAATTACTGAAGACGTCATAAGATATTATGTAGGTTGGAAATCGGGACCGCATTTGATCTATACAGAGTGAAGTGAACTCAAAGAAGAGCGCTTTTGCTTACCATTGATATCCCCTTCGGAGCTTGCTAGCGGTCTCTGGGGTCGCGGGACCCAGAGCGCCCCAGAGTGGTTGCTCGCAGGCTAAATAAAAACAATGTATTGCTAACGATTTATCAACATACACTTTGCACCTTACCTTCCAGCCCGACTGCTGTAAACACGAGAATCAATGTAAACCACAGAGTAGAAGCCATATCTGCTTATGTACGGGTTATATATATTCCCCGCTCTATTGAGTTCCAACTCAAACTCACTGAGTGTCTTTAAAGCTTATACCTTCAGAGCCAACATCATGAGGAAGTCAATCAAGAGCCCTAGGCCTTGTATAGGAACTGCATTTCAGTTCAGTAGGTACTTGAGCATGCTTACTTTATACCACCACAATGCATGCGAAGGTGATCTGCTAGGTGTGTGAATTGACATGTTGGTTTTGCCTTACTTTAAGATCCTTTTTACTCTTTGAAACCACTTTTGTGCCGAATAAAAAAAGATGCCCTCCAGTACAGCCATCTCTCGGACCCAAGTTGGTGCTAATGACATCGCATGGTTATATTTGACCACAAATCATTGCCACTTACAGTTTACATTGTAACATGGGTATTGTATCATAAATTGGTTGAAATCTGGTTCAAGTATTTTGTAAGGATTCATGCATGTTAATTGCATCTTACACTATTGAAACTGTTTCAAATTTCAGTTTTTATTGTAGCCTAGTTTTAGTTGTTTCCTAGCCTTTCCTTTACGGGCATGACTTTAGGCACGTTGCTCTTGTCGCGTATGATAAAAAAGATAAGAAGTTGTCTTCTCGTGATTACCAGGGTTTGATATCGCTCTTGGCTGAAAAATGATGCTTGATATTGTGCGGTAGTGATTTATTTACTCGTTTCTTTCCTGGTTAAAATTTTTGGTTGATTTTAGAGGTTTGTTTAGACAAGGTGAAATGGATACAGTAACCATTGTCTCTGTATCTACTGATTTTTGAGGTCTGCCACTACCTATCCGAAGCGCCAAAATTTTTTAGTCAAACCACTACAGTCGGGAACCTCTTGAAACGACTACCCCTCTTAAACGACGGCGACCCTGTTTTTGGCCTGAAGGTTTTAGAATTTTCCATTGTTTTTACCCTCTTGTAAGTGACCACTTAAAGGGACAGGTTCACGGCTCAGTGCATGCTCATCAGTTAAATTACTTTTTCCAATTTATTATTCATTCTATCGGCTAATAATCCCACTCACATGTATCTCAGCGATCTCGGAGTGTATTTCAAAGCAGAAGTGTATTTCAGAGTAACCTGAACTGGGATGGAGGAGTACTAAAATCGCAGAAAAAATAGTGGATTATGCCAACACTACCAACGTTGAATTAATTGTTGACCCCAAGGTTTTATTCCATGGCTGATTAATTTACAGCTAATTGCACCTAAGTTGATCAAGTGGGGTTATGACATGATCATATTGCTCTCATAGACGATACAGCATGTCCCGGCAAAAAAAAAAACAGCATTTTGATTAAAGAGCATGCGCTGAACCGTGAATCTGTCCCTTTAAAGCAAATGGATTTGATCTCTATGTTCTCTTTATGCCGCTACACTACTCAGAGTATATTAAGAACTTTTAGGGTGTTTTTCTTTACTAAAATTCGAGATCGGATCAAAAATCCGGATCATTATGATTTTTCGTTAAGAATTAAGAAACGATGAATCCAAAAAAGGATTATTTTTAATTCATTTCCATAGAAACGACCCACAATATCGACGGTATCCTGGAGAAAGAATTAACTAGACTGCTGATGATGTTGCAAATTTGCTGATCTTTCATTTTATTGTGGACGGTTAGTTCAAGGATACTGCATGAAGATGAATCTAATAAGATATCTACTGAAAAAGTAACTTGCATGACGCACCGGCGAAACCTGGCGAAGTTGTGTAGCAGTTTTATCTCGATTTGGAGTCGCTGTGAACTAGAGCAATGCAGGTCCCGTTTGGATTGCGATTTTACTATCCGATAAAACGGATAAAAATGATCGTTTAATTCATGCCTCGAATTAAAAAATGGCCGTAAAGATGAGCAGTGTTGTCAAACAGCGGCTGTATGTATTAAAATTGTTTCGAGTTAACGCTAGCTGTATTCCCTCTTTTCAGATCCGTAGTAGAGAAACGCTTCGCATCAAGTATCCAAAGTATCCGGGTTTGGATATGATCCAAAGAATCCACCTCCGTTGTGGATCATTTGGATCAATAATCCGTGTTTGGATTTTAGTAAAGAAACGAAATATCCGTTTTCGGATTAAAAATCAAGATTTGGATTATAGTAAAGAAACGCACCATTAGTGAGAACATGAAACAACACGTATGGTAATTAAATTGCATTCATTACTCCTCCGAAAATGTATATGTGTTCTGATTACAAACTTGCCCAATATTTCGGTTTGAAAGGCAAACCATCATCACGGGCTAAAAGAAAAATGAACATAAAACTGAAAGTTCGTCACAAATAAGGTTTTGATAATATAAAATTAAAACAATAGATTGAGATTGGTGTAGGTGACTAGGTAGTAGTAGTAGGTAAAGGCCCCTTGTGGTTCGATATCTTGCTGAGAAAGCGACCACCTCCCATTAGAGGCGTCCACCAAAAATCTTCGTATTTGGGGTGGTCCCTTACAGGAGCTTCGACTCAATTGCTATGTTTTTATTTCTATGTATTTTGTGTACAACTTCACTAACCGTGCAAGAAAGTGTCAAGAAACGAGCTTTAATTTTTATAACCGATTGATTTAAAAAATTACAAAAATAAGCAACTATATATCAATCCACCCAATAGAAATTTATCTTGTATCAGTGTTTAACCTAAATGAAATATTTATCTAGCTAGTTCATCAGCACTCATAACTTAGATAGGGAAAGTTCATAATAACACTTTATATTAATTAACATTATTATTATTTCTGGTATTTCCGATACCATAGCTTTTGTTAATAATTTGAAAGGCGGTTAACCCAGAAACATCGTAATTTGTTATGCCTGTCCCAATTTGGCATTTTGCAGGAGTAAACTAATCGACAATTTATGGATATCACAAGGGTTTTGTGCTTGAATTATCACATACAAATCATGCTGTTACTTATGTCCAATATTAAACCCGTTTTCAGTCTGACACATTAAGCAATGTGCCCAAAACGTTTCCTTCCCTGCACTACGAATCAATGTCACAAAAAATACGTTTTCTCTCTTTATTGAATCTCATTTCCCTCTAACTAAACCTTTATGGCAGGCAATTAAAGGGGAGGGCAAAGAGGAGAGAAAGAATGTTCTTTCTCGCCCCAAGTGCCACTTTACCTTCCCTTAGGCAGGCTTAACCTCTGCAGCCCCTAGGTAGATCACAACTGCAATATCTTTTATAAAGAGGTCTTGATCATTATTTCTCTGTTGACAGCTTAAATTTTGGGAAATGACAGAGCCAAAAATTATTTTTTACCCCACTAAACGTATTATTGTTTTTAGACAGGTCGTCAATCATAAGTTGATACATACAGATATTACTTTAATTTATTATTTTTTTCAGGTCGGCTTTGTCTTACACTACCTCAATTTTGCAATTTGCACTTTGTGGGTAATCACAGACTTGGATTTTAGGGTTAAAGTGAAGTCCTTTAGGACAATGCTTCCAGTATGTTATCCCGTTTGCACATTGGTAGAAGCTTCCACAGTCCTTTGGATCAGCGTAAAGCCCTGTGGCTTTCCCTTTGCAAAAGTTCTTGTCCTCTGAAATGAAATATTCCGAAACAATATATTTAACAAATCGACCACAATTTTTCATGTTGTACACCATAGAAATGACGTCATAAAATGCTCAAAACTCAAGTAGAACCACCAGCCGCAGGCGAGTGGTTTCACTGCAAAGTTTTGACGACTTTTCTTGTTGTTTTTCGTATTTTTGCTCTACCTTTGAAGCGTCAAGCACCAACTCATTCACAGAAATTTCTTTCCATATGTTAATATTTGGTTCTTTGTCCATGTTGAGGGGTAAAATTATTTTTACGAAAAACCAAAATCACCGGTAGTGCGTGACATGTTACGACATTTCCATGGTCTCTACTCTCATAGACCATAGCCTTCGACCAATCAGCGCGAGGATTCGCTCAGTTATTGTAAAATATGTATTGACTTGCACGTACACCTAAATGAAAGTCAGTATTGACTGATGTCTTAACAGCAAGCAAGCCACGAAAAAGACTAGACCGACCTTTTTAGTCTGTGTTACTGTTAGTTTCCCTATATAAGGTGAATGCGGTGCTGCATGAGCCGATTATATATGTACCCGTATATATTTCTTTAATCGGCTCTACATTCTCAAGACAATTTTCCTTTTAAAAATTAATCAAGTAGAGCAACAAAGAAGCCGAACTAAAGGGGTCCTTTTGAATTTAGAATGGAACAAACCTACCTCCCGCCGGTTGGGAAGGAGGGAGGGTAGACGGGGCTGGACTGGGTGGAGCTGGACTGGGTGGAGCTGGACTGCCAGATGGCTTTACGGTACCAACTGATGATGGCTCAGGATTAGTTCCTGCCGTGGGACTTGGGCCAGTATTGGGACCAATTGCTATGACAAATGTTAAGGTAAACAAAAATAAGTTACATTTCGCGGCAGTAAATGACGGTAAACTAGTGTTAGTAGTGAATAAACTAAAATGAGAAGATTAACCCTTTAAGCCCTAAGACTGATCAGCGCCAAATTTCTCGTTGTAATATCACTGCTTTATAAAACATGAACATGAGAATCGAGGGCCTGATCACACAAGATGAATCTAATTGATACTTCAACAAATTCTGCCCACTGCTTCTATTGAAAACATATAGAGAAAACAAATGAGAATTTGAATTTTGCTATTAGGGTTTAAGGGATTAAAAGGATGTAGGTTATTGCAAGACAAATTACCCTCATGGCCTAATCTTATTGATTCTAACAAACATGATTTGTACAAGGTACTCACGTTGTTCCGTTTTCCCTGCTTGTCCAAAGCATTTAATGTTTTCAGGATTACTGTCTGCAAACGAGAGAAGAAATGTTCAATCACTTTCCAACCGCAGGTGCAAATTCAACAAAAAACTGCCGTAAAAGACAAAAGAAAAAAAAAACAATAATATATGAAAAATAGTTCCCACTATTGCGGCAAACTAGATATTAGTAAAATCCAGCTAGTGGTTTATTACGAACGCAGCGTTTTGATTGGTTGAGCTACTACTAGGCTATATGTTATAGCCCACTAGCAGCGAAAAGCGCCGGCTTTTTGGCGGCAAAAAATGATTAAAGTCTAGCTTTAACTGTGGCTAAAGGTGCTTTGTCTCGATGTTTTTGACCAACTAGTTGAATTTTACCAAAACAATTATTCCTCTCGCCCTCATGGCGTCTGAGCCAATAGCCCATTCGGCCTTCGGCGTCATGTACTATTGACTCAGGCCATTCGGGCTCGAGGAAAAATTGTTAGTGATAATGAGGAGCTGGGAGCCGTTGATCATTCATCTGCCCAGAGACATAAGGAAGCAATGTTAATTAGAATGAGAATAAGATGCTATTGTTCTTTTTGTAGTAAGAGTAGTTTAAATAATTCTTAATCTATATTCATATCAATTGACCGTGGTCAAAAGATGTATCCGCTTACCTATATCACATGACCCTACTCATCAAGTTTACGTAATTTCTCAAGTTATCCGCTTATCGAACAGTTGAAAACTTTTTTATTTGGTTCCCTGTCTTAAGCTATGTCAGAGACTTTTATTCTCTGGTGATAGTCTTACGATAACCTAAAGGCTGCGGTCTGTTGTTACTGTGCCTGCTCTCCAAATATGGCAATGACTAAATGATTAGAGTTTAACAGGGCCGGGAGCTCCGCAGTT